GAGCTAGAGGAAATGAGGAAAGAGAGGAGTCCCAAGAGGGCTTGGAAATTTCCCACCTTGGTGACCGGGACAGGGGAGGTGCCCTTCACAGATAATCAGAATCCTGGGGGTACACCTATGTGAAGTGAGTCCAAGCAGGGCTGGGGCAATAGGGAGTCCCAGAGAAATGAGGCTGGAATATTGAGTCCTTCCCCGGGAGTGGGGGTGGGGGTGGGGGGACACTCCTCCATAAAGAAGTTTCCTATGACCATAAAGAAGTTCTGGGTCAGACTGAGAACTCTGGGCAGCAAAGCAAAAAAAGCACAGGCCCAGGAACCTTGCACTTCTAGATACACACATTTATTTGCCATGTGACCTTGGGCCAATTACTCAGCCTCACTGAGCCTGTCTTCCCTGCTGTAAAATGGAGATTAAAATACCTACCTCATAAGGTTGTTGGGAGGATTATGAGAAAGCATAAGTAAAACTCTGGGCCCTGTGGCTGACACTGGGGAGATACATCATAACCGCTCGCTCCCTTCCCTCTAGGCAGTGCGCAGATAAATGTGTGTACCCACACAGGCACACATGCAGGCAGCAAAACAACACAAAAACATCTGGTCATGTTCCTGCCCTCTCCAAGGAGGATGTCCATTTTTATCGTCCATACATTACCAAAACTACTAATTTTGACACTTGGACAAACCCTATCATATCCTCAAACTCAGTCCCTCCAGTGCTAACATCTGGATTTCCACCTTTGAGTCTCTCAGGCTCCAGTCCTTTTCCAGGACCCCAAATTACTGTATTCCACCCCCACCCCACTCCCAGTTCTGTCCACCTCAGTTCTAGTTCTCAACTCCTCCCTGTCATCCCTTCAGATTATCCCCCTTTCCTCTGGTTGTGCTGGTGGCTGGAGCTTTCTCTGGGGTCCTGATAAGGAGTTGAGACAGGGAAGAATCCCCTCCTACCCACATGTCCCGGAACTTTCTTGTTAATCTCTGGATGACACATGAATGGGCCCCTATAGGGAGAAGCTGGGGCCCACCTATGGCAGCTGGGAGCTGGGTTTATGGGGTACAGCAATGGCACATAGAGGAAGATAGCAGGAGGCCAGGCAAGGGAATGTAAAGGTGCTGAGCTAACGTAGACTTAGGCTGCAGTATGGGGCACACGTTTCCTGGGGCCTGGCTTCTCCTTGGGCTATTGAGGAGGCCCTCAAGATTCCTGCTGCAGTCAATCCTAACTGCTCCTCCACACAGTGTCCATCCCATTTTTTCAGCACCATGCCTGACCTGCAGCTGCTGGGCCTGTCCTATAGCCAACTTTGAGAGCCAGTGGCTACTTATCAGCCTACAGGCCAAGCACTGGTAAACGGGAGGCTTCAGTCCACGCCAGCTGCGAGAGGTTCTACTCACAGTCCTGACTGGAGACAGGTGGGCTACAGCAGCCAGGGCTTTCCAGGCTCTACTTCTATGGGTTTCAAAATTTTCATGCAGAGGGGTAATTCTGGAAGGCAGGGCAGATTTGATCACAGTGGACAGGTCCTCCCAGGTGTCATACCAGCCTATTTTCAGTTCTGGCAGTTGGTGCAAAACAAAGGGTAGGATTTGGAATCAGTCAGGCCTTAGTTCTAGTCTCAGGTCTGACATATAAATACCTAAAACTTTCTGATCCATAGTCTCATCAGAACAAATTGATATTTTTTTTTTTAAAGAGAGAGTGAGAGAGGAGAGAGAGAGATAGAGAATTTTTAATATTTATTTTTTTTAGTTCTCGGCAGACACAACATCTTTGTTGGTATGTGGTGCTGAGGATCGAACCCAGGGCGCACGCATGCGCGCTACCGCTTGAGCCACATCCCCAGCCCCACAAATTGATATTTAATAACAGCATTTACTGGCCTGTTATATGCCAAAATTTGAAATAATTAAGTTTTTTAATGTTTATTTAATCCTACATCTACAGGAGGAGAGGAGGTGTGGGAATTGTGGCAAAAGTGTTGGCAAAGATCTGAAAAAAAAACAATACCTTTATTTTATTTATTGATTTTTAATATTTATTTTTTAGTTGTAGTTGGACACAATACCTTTATTTTTTTTTATGTGGTGCTGAGGAATCGAACCCAGGGCCACTTGCGTTTGCTAGGCGAGCATGCCACCACTGAGCCACAACACCTGAGGATGGAACCCAGGGCCTTGCACGTGCTAGGAAAGCGCTGTACCGCTAAGGCACAACCCCAACCCTAGTTATTTTTCGTATTTTATAAACAAACTAGCAAGTGGCAAATACTGTCATTCCCCACCCTTTCCTCACTGACCAAATGGATAAAAATGGGTATTAAGTCCACCATAGGAATTCCATCTTTCTTGACAGAGATTGGTTTAGGAATGGAAATGTGGCATAATTCTGGCCGGTGAGATGTGAGGGAAAAATCTAGGGACTTCTAGAAGATCCTTTCTCTTTTCACTTTTAGAAATGTGCAACTGTGCAGTCTGTAGCTGCTGCAGCTATTCTGCAACTCTGAAGGCAGCAGCCAATAAACTGAAAGCAGCATAACAGAAAGTTGAAAGAACGCTGGTCCTTTGTGTGCTCATTAAGCACAAAATTAACCAACACTGAAAATGAAGTCATCTCTGGACTGCTTAAGTGAGAGAAAATTTCCTTATTGTTTTGACACTGCCACATGTATTTATGAACTGTTATCCACTTATCTATTTATCTGTGCTATAGGTAGATTACATCATTGTGCTTTTGGACACAAGATCTCCAACCAAGATTTTCCACTTGCCTGAGGTTCATGCTAGTCAGTGACAGAGCAGGAATTGCTTTTCTGACATGAACCTGAAATGGTGTAATATACATAGACTTCTGATTGTTCCTACCCCCAAAGCAATTTATAAGCTAATATAGAATATTGGTATAAATAAACTTTTTCCTATTTTCCTTCATGGGAGGTAATTTCCAAAAGGTGAAGTGGCTGGTGACATGACATGTTATCCACCTTCCCTTCTGATCCCCGGGATTCCTCCCAGGCTTTGGGCCCTGCTGTACCATTCAGCATTCCAGGGAGTTGGCTGTCCCCAGATCTACATAAGGAGTCAAGGAGCCCTGGGACTGGGCCATATGTCACCAGCAAAGGCCAGTGATTTCGGGTCCTATAAAATGACTCAATGCCCATTTTTGTAAGCTCTTTAAATCTAAAGTGTAAGAGAGAAAAAAAGAATGGGAAGGAATCTTTCATGTGGCTTAGAAGGGCATAGGCAGAAACAGATACTTAAACTCTGTAACATTCAACCTATAAATTTTAAAATGTGTATTTTAATATCTCAAAAATTGCATGCTTTTTGAACCAGCACCTTCACTTCTAGGGAAAGGAAATAAGTATATGCAAAGATGATTTATTGTGAGGTTTACAATCATAAAAAATTGGGAACGTTCCTCACGGAAGGTAGACTAAATCCTTACAATGGAATACTATGCAGCCATCAAGACTAACGAGGTAAAAGAGACACAGAATGGTGTTATAGAATACTAGGTTTAAAAAGTAGGTAATAAAATAGGATATATGATCTCATTTTCATTTAAAAAATATATAAATCTATACAAAGGCATAGAAAAAGATAAGAGACATAGTACCAAGGCATTAAAAGTGGTAATTTTGGAATATTAGGATTTTGGTGTTTTAAATTTCTTTTCTGCTTATTTTCTATTTTCACATGACATGAAGAATGTCAGTGTGTGCAACATCTACCCCTCAAAAGAGAACAGTATGGTTACAGAGAGTAATCAGGGCTAGGTAGACAAGATGTCTCCTTCAACACTGGAAGACATGGAACGTACTGGTAGTGAGGTGACAGACTATTCCAGCATGTTCCTGCTGTGACAGCTGCATGGTATGAAAGGACTCTCTACGTCCAGGGTTCCTTGAATGCACTTGGAGTCTTCTTCCTAGAGTGTCTGACCATCTTCTTAGTTTGGGCTAAGAACTGGCAGACGTCCAGCAGCAGCAGGAGCCCCAAGCAGACAATGGCTGGGATGGAGGTGCTCAGTGACTCTTTCAGAGATACCAAAGTGAAGATAGCCACTGGAATGGAAAATGAAATCCCTGAGGCTCCCTGGAAGCAGCCAGAAGATCCTGAGAGCTCAGGGGTTCCAGCCTAGGCTGACCCACTCCAGCCCAAGCCCTCCGATTAAACATCCTCCACATGAATCCTTCTCCTCATCTTTGGCTTCCTGCAGAAAGCAGGACCAAGAGTTAGAAGCCTCTTGGACTAATAAAGGCTCACTCAGAGGTTAAGAAAGAAACAGCAACATTCTAGTCGAAGGGGGCAGGGACTATGAGGTAGGTAGACAGGGATTTGGGAACAAATTTTTCCCGATCCTTCTTCTTTCTTAATCCTAAATCTACAGGAGGGGAGGAGTTGTGGGAATTGTGGCAAAAGTGTTGGCAAAGATCTGAAAACGAGGAAAGGTCTAGAAATGGAAAGAATGCTTAGGAGACAGGGTGGTAACAGTACCAATAATGGTGACACAGGCCAAGGGGATAAAGAAGAGCCTGAAGATGTCTAGTCTTTGAGGCAGAGCTGTCTCCGTACATCAGCAGTTCCTGTGGACACAGCTTCTACAAGAGGCGGCTCACAGAAACCATCTGCCTTTCTGTTCAGGGGGCCTTAGCTTCCTAGCTCTCTACTCCCATCTACTATATACATAAGCCAAGTGGCAGCTGTTGTTCCTCCCCTCATTCCAGGAGTGGGTGTGTGGAAGGAGTAGGGGTTCTGAGGTTATAATACATCCTCATAATGGAATACTATGCAGCCATGAGGTAAAAAGTATACTTGACATGGGTTAGTATTATGGTATATCAAGTTTCACACTGTCCTCTTCTGAAGACTATGGAAACTGCAGCAGAGCAGAAAGTGTTCTTGGTCCCAGAGAGAAAAGGTGGCAACAGTAGTGGGGGAAAGAACAGGTCTTCTATCATTCCTCCCAGAAGATCCCATTTCCCCAGGCCCCCTTACCCATCATGAGGAGGGTCAAGAGGAAGTTACTGATATCTTGTAGCACGGGTGGGCCCACGACCAACAGCAACCCAGCCAGCAGCTCCAGCCAGCCCACAGCTGTTTGGTAGTTCACAGGATCTGGCTGGTAGCCGAACAACTTCAACGGGAACACCTCAGCAAACTGCACGAACAGGGCTTTCTACAAATGGCAGGGAATGCCTATCAGCCATGCTCACCTAGGAAATACTGTCCAGATGCCCCACAGGGGCATTCTATACCTTTGTTCTCAACCCCCTTAATAAAACCATTATTTACCCTAGGTCAGAGCCTGAGGTCAGCCTGGAAAAGCCACCTTGTGGTGCTGAGTTTTGAAATCAGGATACATACAGGCTCTAGGCCCCAAGTGAGAAGTTGATTTTCTCATCAGATTACACCCTGGCCCCAAGGCTTGGGCCTTCCCCTCTGGGAATAAGGCCTTGCTTGAGGATTCCAAGATCCTTTTTGTTTTGTTATTGTTTTGTACTGGGGATTAAACCAATGGGCACTTTACTACTGAGCTACATCCCCAGCCCTTTCTATTTTGAGACAGGATCTCAGTGGCTTAGGGACTTGCTAAATTGCTGAGGCTGGCATCAAACTTGAAATCCTCTGTCTCAGCCTCTCAAGCCACTGGGATTACAGGCAAGCCCATCATGCTAGGCCTGGTTCCTCTTCAGACTACTTTTCAGGGAATGTTTGGAGGTGATGAGGTGGTGGAAGCACTCATTAAACAGACCCCATCTTCAATATCCTCAGTTGGGTTCCGGATTCCAATGTGGCGGACTCAAGGAAGGGCTCAACAAGACCCTCTTGCTGAATTGGGCCGTTCTCTAGGCCAAATGACAGCTCACCCACAGTTGACTTTTCCTGCTCTCCCACTTCTCTTCTACCTCTCCTACTCGGCCCTGCAAGGAAACAGTTTAAGCTGAAGGCTCTGGTGAGATTCTTCCTCCAAATAATCCACCATCCTAAATCATAAAGGGAGAACCTAGGCTTGGGAGAGAGAGAGGCAACTGGGGCCTCCCTCAAAGCCTGGCCTCTTGGAGGGGCTGGGGGCACTGGTAAACTGGAGATGAAAGCTTTCCTACACTCTGGAACTAGCCAGAGAGGTGGCAGGGGCTTTCTAGGCTTGTTGGGAAAAGAAGGGATTGAATTAGGAGAGTCTGGTTTGGGTCCTGCTTCCTGCACATTAGATTATACCTCACCTTCAGGGCAGGTTTCCTACCTGCAAAGTGGGGATTACTACAGCCTGCTTCGCGACTCACCAAAAAGTAGAGGGGAAGAAGGTGGAAGGACACTCATCCTCCGCCAAAAGGGGGCCCAAGCACTCCTCTCGGGCTCTCAATTCGCCCCGCGAAGCCAGTGCTCAGCCGGAAAGGGTGGTCCCACCCGCTCCCGCCCAGGGAGGAGCAGAAAACTCGAGGAACTCCGGGGAGGTCCCCGACGCGGGGCCCAGCTCCCGCGCGGCCAGGCCGAGCACTCGCCACGCTCCCGGCTCCCGCCCACCCATCCACCCACTCGCTCACCATCTGCTGCGACACGGGAGCCGAGATCTGCGAGAGCTTGGCCGCCCCCGTGAGCGCAAAGAAACCGCCCAGCAGGACGCGCAGGGCGGCGAGCACGAGCGCCATGGCCGCGCCGCTCGGGACCCAGAGGCCGCCTCGCGGGCTCGCTTCCTCCCGCCTCCGCCGCCGCCGGAAGGCCGCGCCCACCCTCTGGGACGTGCCCGCCAGGCCCGCGGGCTCTCGAGCGAACTGCCACCGCCCGAATCCAGGGGCGGCCCCGCCTCCCGGCCAGCACAAAGTGGAGGCAAACGTGGGCATCTGGCCGTGGCCGCGCAGGAGCCGCGTTCTGCCCCAGGGCCCGGGCTTTGGCCCTGCGACTGCCACACTAGCAGGAGGAACTGGGCTGTCGCCCGACCCCAAACGACCTCAGTGTCTGCACCCACAGGGCAATAAGGCCTTGGCTGTCAGGCCTGCAGAAAATCATTTGTAAATGAGTAATCTAAACAACCTGATACATAGATAACCAGTAATTAACTAGTCGTGCAGCGCGGTGGCGCAAGCCTGTAATCCCTTAGGAGGATCTGAGTTCAAAGCCAGCCTCAGCAACTCAGTGAGACCCTGTCTCTAAATAAAATACTTAACAGGGCTGGGGATGTGGCTCAGTGGTGGAGTGCCCCCGAGTTCAATCCCGGTACCCCTCCCCCACTCAAAAAAAAGGTGTTCTTGTATATCTTGCTTGAAGTATCTGCCCTCTGACGTCTCAGCTGAATTTAAAATGTGAAAGGTGTTTGAAAATTCAGATACTTGTCAGGGGAAGAGAGGCTTTCATTGAACAAAAGCACTGTAGGCCATTCCTGGCCCATCTGCTCTTACCAGGATGGCTGTTTAGAAGCTGGCTGGGCAAAGTGTGGGCCAAATTCTGCTAGCTGTTTGGTTTTTCTGCTCTCCTCCACACAAGATAATGTTTGTTTACACTTTTTAATGATTAAAAAGTGCAAGAAGTTTTCGCGACACATAAAAATTATACGAAATTGGCATCTCAGTGTTCATAAAGTTTTACTGAAATACTCATTTGTCTCTGGCTGCTTTTACACTGCAACTGTGTAGGAGTGGCCACACTATAGGTGCAAAACCTAATATTTACTATATGGCCCTTTGTGAAAAAAGTTTGCCAAGCCCTGGTCTAGCCTGCCAGAGAAAGCCCCAAACAGTCTCAAACTCCCCTCTGTCCTATTCCCTGTTAACCATTACTTTGTTTTCCACCTGCCTATAATCTGCTGGGGGCAGCTGGCTGCCTGAAGACAGAAATCTCCCATGTCCAACTTCAACATTCAGATTGTGCTATCATATTAGAAACTGGGCCTTTTAGCAGGGGGAAGTAGTGGACTCCTTGTAATCCCAGCAGCTCAGGAGGCTGAGGCTGGAGGGTAACAGATTCAAGGCCAGCCTCAGCAATTTATTGAGACCCTATCTCATAAAAACAAAAAATAACATGAACTGGGAATGAAGCTTAGTTGCTGAGCACCTCAGTTCAGTCCCCCATACAAAAAAAAAAAGAGTCTTTAATTAGATGCAATCTTGGTCACTAACCCAAGTTTGTCAACCAAATTCTCTATGTCGGATTATTAAAAAACTAAACATAATTATGCACAAATGCGTAATTATTAAATCCTTCCAAAAGATTAGAAAATTATTAAAACAAACACTGAAAACACAAATCCACATTAGGAAATTATATTTTAGGATAGTTACACAAAATTTAACACAAAATTAGACTTCTTTATTTATATTTTTAGTGGTAGATGGACACAATACCTTTATTTATTTGTTTATTTAATGTGCTGAGGATTGAACCCAGTGCTTCATACATGCCAGGCAAGTGCTCTACCACTGAGCCACAACCCCAGCTCAAAAATTAGACTGATGATAAACAACATGCACACTGCTTTTCTTTCTCCTTTACTAATTTTTCTATCCTTGGAATTATTGATGTGACTGCAAGTCTCAGGGCAGAGCCAGAAACCAACAGATTTCTTTGTCTTGACACAGTCAAAGCTGAAAAGGCAGCATCACATAAATAAACAGTTGAAAAAGGTAATAAAAATTTCATTGCCTTTTCATGCAGTTCTGGGTAACTTGTCTTTGCGTTTATCCAAAACTGCGTTACAGACACTGATTTAAATAGTGACTGTAATCCTAAATCTGAAAATAACTGTTTTAATTTTTCTTTTTCAAAATTAGTAAGATTATTATTTTGGTGATTCGTAAATGGGTTAATAATCCACAAATTTCCTGGACGCAAGTCATCTTCTGGTGGGTAGCAGTCATGGAACATTTGAGAAAGTCCTTCCAGGTGCTCAAGAATAATGCTTGTGATATTTCTCACATTTAAGTCTGATGAGTTTGAGAATTCAGAAAATGAAGGGAACATATCATAATCATTCTCTTGTGTCCGCTTCAACCACATTTTTAACTTTTTCTTATAAATATCCATTTTATTATACAAATTGAAGAAAGTAGTCATGGTTCCTTGCAGACTTGAATTTAACTCATTTATAAGTGAAAATATATCCGCTAAATAGGCTAGCTTTGCAACCCATTCCTCATCATGAAAATAGGTGGCGAAATCTGAATGCTTTTGATTTAAAAATATTTCAATTTCATGTCGTAATTCAAATAACCTTGTTAAAATTCTCCCTCTTGATATCCAACATATTTCAACATGAAGTGGTAAATGCACATGCTCGGGTCCCATCTCTTCACACAAAATTGTTAACATCCGTGAATTCGATGAATTACTCTTTACAAAACTTAAAATTTGTGCTGACTGTAAAAGAACTTCATGTAAACATGGAGACAACTTTTCAGCTGCTAAGAGTTCACGGTGAATAAAACAATGTGTAAATGCCACTGTACTCATGGCAACTTCTTGAATTTTTGCCCTTAAATCAGAATACCTGCCAGTAATGCTTACAGCCCCATCAGTACAGAGACCAACACAATGTTTCCAATTCAGAGATTTACTATCGATATACTTGTTTATTAGTTCAAATATTTCAAAACCAGTGATTTGAGAAGGCATTTCAAGGCAAAATAATAATTCTTCTTTTATATCACTATACTCATAATCAATGAAACGAATATAGCACAAGAGAAGGGTGGTATTTGAGATTTCTGATGACTCATCTATCTGAAGAGCAAACCACGCTGACTCTCTGACCTTTTGGATCAGCTGATCTTCGATGTCTGCAGATAATTCATCAATTCTGTATCCAACTATATTATTAGAGAGAGGAATGGTTTTCATTTTGTCTCCAGCACTTGAACCCAAAACTTCCGAACACATTTCTACTAAATATGGTTTGATTAATTCTTCAGCAATAGAGAATGGCTTTTTGCTGGCAGCAATTTGGAAAGCAATTAAATAAGAAGCTTTCACAAGTGACTTTTCAACTAGTAAACACTTTTTTAAAGAACTGTTTTGACATTCCATTTCAAGAGATTTTTGTACAAAGAAATCTACTGGCTTGTTTTCTAATTCTGAATGTTTTGTCTTCAAATGATGAGAAAGATTTGCCGGCTTCAAACTTTCACTGGGTAAGATCTCTCCACAAACGACACACTGTGGCCTTGGTGAACTCTCTTTTGATCCAGGACACATAATACAACCAACCTTTAAATATTCCAAATCATAAGTCTGGAAAAAACCTATTCTTTTTTTCTTTGCAGGTGGAGAATCAAGTTCTGCATCATTTTTCTCATTTGGCATGGCTAAATCTGAAGGAAATATTTGAATCACTGTTAAATGTGTAAACTGTTAAGTTCAAGAATAAATAAGCATTGTTCTTTGTTTTTTCCCCACACATTTAAAAATTTTTTGTTACTATTTATATTTATGAAAATAATATCCTGATTAAAGTTTTAAAAACAGACTATAATACCTTCATGATGCCATTAAAAACTCAATTTCTCCTTTGTCCAAAGTTTGGCCACTTGATTATAATAAAATTATAAGCTATAAAATGTGAAATTAATCTCACATATATAACAGTTTACTGGAATTAGTTCTGAAGTCCATGACACACACAAATTAAGAATAATTATTTTATTTTCAAAGAGCTCAGGAAAAGAACCAAAATGTTGGAAGAAGGAAGTACTTGGTGAATCTAGATAAAGGGTATGCTGACATTAATGATACTGTTTTTCAATCTGTCTGAATTTTGATATTTTTCAAAATTAAAGTTAAGGAAAAGAAAGAAACCTAGTTAGTTAAAGACACAGGGGCAATTGTTGATTGTGATATCCAGTGTCAGAGAGGGTGAAGAGAAATTAATCCTATCCAACACTGATATTTAGAACATAAATTGTAACTTTTCAGGAAGGCAATTTAGCAACAGGTTTTAAAAGCTTTAAAAACTGACTGCAGCCTTTGAATGAGAAATCCTGCTTCTTAGGATTTGTCTTAAGAACATAACTAGACAAGTGGACAAAGATCCATTAATACACTTTAACTTGACATTGTTTATAAGTATTAAAAAATCTAGGAGCTGGGGGTAGAGCTCAGTGGTGGAGCACTTGCCTAGCATACGGCATGTTTTGGGGTCAATGCCCATCCTGGAGAAGAAAGGAAGGAAGGAAGGAGATAAATAAATCTGAAGTTCTAGTCTTAGGGGGTTGGTTATGTTATATACTCTGAAATTTATGTATATTAAGAATTCTGATGTATATTTAAATTTATACTGACATGGAATATTTTCAATAGAATGAAATAACAAAGCAGTTAACAGTTTACAATAGTATACAGAAAATAATCTAATATTTAGTCTAGAAATTTAAAAAATGTATAGGTACACATATACCCCCACATACAGATGCCCACAGAGCCTTTACTAACCTCCACATGTGACCATATAAATTCATGTACATAGTGTATCATTTTAACAGGGATATAAAATAATCAAATCTCCTGAAGAAGAAAAATAGCAATTTCTTTGACTCCTACCATAAGAAAGGTACCCTGAATAAAAAACAGCTGAGTACTTTTTGACAGGTTTTTGTTTTTTTTTTTGCTATCATTGTTATTGGGTTTTTTTTTTTGTTGTTGTTGTTGTTTTTTTGAGACAGGGTCTATCTAGCTAAATTGCTGAGGCCAGCCTCTAACTTATAATTCTGCTGCCTCATCCTCCTGAGTTGCTAGGATTAGAGGTGTACCGTGCCCACATAGACTAAGCTTTTTAAATACAGATAATTACAAAAGGAAAAATCTTTATTAAAAATAAATCAGACTGGACATGGTATGCATGGCTAAAATCCCAGCTGTTCAGTCAGCTAAGGTAGGAGGATCATAAATTTGAGGCCAGACTGGGCAAC